TCCAGAAATCTTTGCAGGCTTTACCTGTGACCCAGGCACCTGCCAGGAGAGCTAGGAAGCCAACAGCATGGAGTCAAAGCTGTGCTTTGCTGTGAGACGGGGTCAGACCGGTTCATGTGCTGACAGCCAGCTGTCCACTTTCAGCGTAAGTTTTGGCTGTGAGCATTTGCAAGGCAGGAAGGACACAGCGTCAACAGGACAGCCTCAGCCTCTGCCCTCAACCTTGATGTGCCTAAGGGATGAACCTGTTGAAGTTTGAATCTGGACTGCGCATCTTCCTGTAGGGTGCTAACGTGTAGTGGAGACCATGAGTCTGGGCAGACGGCTCAGTCAGTAATGCACTTCCTGGGTCCCGTCACCAGAATGCACAGAAAAGTGCTGGGCATACTGGTACGTGGTTGTAACCCTAGCACTCGGAAGGCAGGATCAGGAAGGTCCCGGGGCTTCCCAGCCAGTCGATGTAGCTGAGTCGGTGAGCTCTAGGAAAATGAGAGATCCTTATCTGAGGGTGGAGAGTATCTTAGGACAACTCCCAAGGATGGTTTATGAGCATGCTCAGCAGTTAAGAGCATTTGTTGCTTTGGCAGAAGATCTGGGTTCCTTTCCCAGCACCCACATGCCAACTCACAACCATCCATAATCTAGCTCCAAGGTATATGATGTCCTTATGATCTCTGTGGGCAGCAGGTGGATATATAGTACAGATCGCTCATGCATATAAAATAAAAATAATTAAATCTAAAAGAAATCTAAAACACACACACGCACACACACACACAAACCAAAAACTGGCCCCTTCTGCCTTGTGCTCTGAGTACACCCTGAAATCTACCGATGAAGGAGGACTGCCTTGGCATCATCCTCTCCTTCCCTGTCCCGGATGGTGCTCCCAGTCAAGCAGTGTGCTCCGTGGGTCTCTTTGACCATCCTCGGCCCCGTCTGCAGTACCGCCTACGTTTCCTCTTTTCAGCTCCTCCCTTAGTGGTGCTCACTGTGCAGTTCTTCCTGAGAGAAACACCATGAGCTGTACCATGACCAGGATGGCCAGGGACAGTCACAGAGGGCCTGGGCAGAGCCCCGGTGACTGTCAGCCTGAAAGCAGGGCTTCCCCGGACAGGGGCTGGCTCTTTGTTGGGAGGAGGAAGCAACTTGAGCCTTTTCCAGGAAGCCACCTCCAGATGCCCGATTTCCCATTTGTATGTCAGCTCTGGAGGTGCTGGTGCGTGTGGATCGGGCACCTACACATGTGTGCTGCCAGCTATGCATATAGCTCACAGTTTCTGAAATATAGATACAAATGCCTCACCTGATTCGCATTTTGCAAATATTTTTCCCATTCTGGCTTATATTTTATTTTTTTAACCTATTTTGATATACATATTTTCAAAAATCACAATTTGTGTGTGTGTGTGTGTGTGTGTGTATACATGTGGTCTAGCAGGGGTAGTGAGAGCAGGTATCCCTGCTCTGTAACCCATTTCAGAGGAAAACATTCAGTCTTTCATCTTTTGCTTGGTGTTAGGTGTTTTGTTGTTTTGTAAGCAGATCTGTATTGTCTTCTTTCCTCATGCACGCTGGCATGCACGTGCAGTTGTAACACCCAGGAGCTGGAGGCAGGAGGATTGAGAATCCAAGGCCATTCTAGGCTGCATAGCAGTTGAAGGCCAGCTAGGCTACATACTAAGACTCTGTCTACTTAGTCTAGAAATATGGTAATTTTCACTTTAAATGTAAAATTGATTTAAAAAAGCATTAGGCTTCCATTCCCAGGTTAAAGCCCACTTAGCTGTAATAATGAGTTATCCTTTTAATGTAATGTTGGACTTAGCTCACTAATCTACATGGCACTATGAACACTGAATTGCATTGGTGGTGCTCTGTGAATTGGAGTCATTAGGAAGCAGATGTGGCCACATCAAGCCCGTGGGCCACTTGCAGCCTGGATTAGTAAAACATGAGTGTGTGAGCATGTGAAGGAGTGTATGTGTACATGTGTGAGTGTGTGTGAGTGAATGAGTGTGTGTGAGTGTGAGTGAGTGAATGAGTGTGTGAGTGTGTGTGAGTGAATGAGTGT